TCTGACAGTTCCTGGGCGGGGGGTGGGGGGTGGGTGTTGGAGTGGGGGTGGGGCAAGGCTCAGGAATAGGAGAGGGTCTTTTCCAATCCCCCAAAGTGTATGACCAGCTTCCCTGCTTACCCCTCCACAGCCCCAAACTCGCCACCATTCCGTGCTGCGGGGACACCATGGCTCCAGAAGAGGACGCTGGAGGGGAGGCCTTAGGGGGCAGTTTCTGGGAGGTGAGCAGCTGGGTCCTGGGTTTGAGGGGGGCACTGAAATGCCCATCCCTCTCTGGGCTCAGCCACCTGTCCAGGGAAGGAGGCTAGCTGTCAGCTCCAGCCCCAAGAGAGGGCTTCTCCCTGGTGATGCCGCCCTTCTCCTGCATGCCCCAGGCCGGCAACTACAGGCGGACGGTGCAGCGGGTGGAGGACGGGCACCGGCTGTGCGGGGACCTGGTCAGCTGCTTCCAGGAACGTGCTCGTATCGAGAAGGCCTATGCCCAGCAGCTGGCCGACTGGGCCCGCAAATGGAGGGGTGCCGTGGAGAAGGGTGAGCTGGCGCTCAGGCCTTGCAGGGAACAGAGGACTGCTGAGGGAGGGACATTAGGGCAGCTCATTTTTGCAAGTTCGAGGCTTCCACATCTGTCTTCCCTTTAAAGAGGGAAGGTTCTCCCCATTATCCTCATAGTTGTGCTATTAGAGTTTGCAAAGCACATTCATGAGTTACTTTGATATTTCCAAGAACCCTATGATGGAGATGGTCCTGTTCTACCCATTTTCTAAAGGAGAGATAAAGTTCAGAGAGGCTAAGGAAATTTCCTGAAGTCACACAGCTAGGAAGAGCTGAAGGTTGAGCCCAGGCCTTCTGACTGGGTGTGTGGGATCTTTATATCCGACAAGCTGGTCTTCCTCGAGAGTGGACACAGTTCTCCCTCTGATGCAACATTGCGTAGTGTTTATGCAACAGTCTTGGGCTCGAATCTCAGCTCTATCTGTAGCTGTACTGCTTTGGGCAAATTCACTTCTCTGGGCCTCAGTTCTTTTGGCTGTTCAGTGTTGATAATGACACAGGTGGTTGAGGCAGGATTTGGTGAGATCTTCTACGTCAAGGCACAGAGTAGGCATTCAGGAAGCAGCCTGGCACCCAGAGCAGCACCCCACGAGAGGTAGTGGGCTCATTTGGGGAGATGCCCTGGGCCTGGCCCAAGCCCCATCCTTCCCTGCAGGCCCCCAGTACGGCACCCTGGAGAAGGCTTGGCATGCTTTCTTCACGGCTGCTGAGCGGCTGAGTGCGCTGCACCTGGAGGTGCGGGAGAAACTTCAGGGGCAGGACAGTGAGCGGGTGCGTGCCTGGCAGCGGGGGGCCTTCCACCGGCCGGTGCTGGGTGGCTTCCGCGAGAGCCGGGCTGCTGAGGATGGCTTCCGCAAGGCCCAGAAGCCCTGGCTCAAGAGGCTGAAGGAGGTGAGCTTGGGTGGGCTGGGTGTTGGAGGTAGGCTCCTTCCAGGTGGGCATGGGGCTCGAGGGGGACAAGGCATGGCATCCAGGGTCCAGACTTGTCCCTGTGCATGCCAGGTTGAAGCTTCCAAGAAGAGCTACCATGCAGCCCGGAAGGACGAGAAGACAGCCCAGACTCGGGAGAGCCACGCAAAGGCAGACAGTGCCGTGTCCCAGGAGCAGCTGCGCAAACTGCAGGAGCGGGTGGGACGCTGTACCAAGGAGGCCGAGAAGGTGCAGGCTGTGGGCCCAGGCCCAGGCCAGGCTTCCTGAATGAGTCTTGTTCTCCGAGTGCCTTTTCCAATCCCCAGCACTCTTATTGCTCCTATCCTCACCTGCCACCCTCTTTCCAGATGATTATTTAAATAAAGGAGGAATCTGAGGAAGGGTGATGCTTTAACCAGGGAAAGAAATTGAATTTCAGGCACTGGGATGACTTTAGCAGTTGAGGAGAGCTTCCAGCTTTTTTCCTTGTACAGTGTACCACCTGGGACAAGTTCTCACATTGCCTGCTCTGCCTGGCGTGCCCTTTTCTCTAGCTCTGCATGTCTAGATCATCTCCATCCTCTGAGCTGCTGCTCGGTTGCCACCTCCTCCAGGAAGCCTTTTCTGATTTCTCCCACCCTTTCCCAGAGGTTGACCTAATCTCCCTCTCCACCAGACTCTTACAGCTGCTGTGCCTGAATATCACCTCCCTTGTCAGGATGCTGGGGTTCTTGAGGGCAGGAGCCCAGTCTCAAGACTAATTGCCCCTGGTGGCTAGCCCAGGTCTAGCCCATGACAGTGCCCAGTAAATACTGTTGGAGTCCCTGGTGGAAGAAGGTCTTGTCCTCACCAGGCCCTCTCCTCTCCCACCAGACAAAAACGCAGTATGAGCAGATGTTGGCAGAGCTGCATCGCTATACCCCACGCTACATGGAGGACATGGAGCAGGCCTTTGAGACCTGCCAGGCTGCTGAGCGCCAGCGGCTTCTCTTCTTCAAAGATATGCTTCTCACCTTACACCAGCATCTTGACCTGTCCAGCAGTGACAAGTATGGCCTGTGGGGGGGGAAGGGCCTGTGTCTAGGAAGAGACTGGTAGAGAAGGGCCACCGGAGTCTAGACAGAATGCAGGATGGGAGGTGGGAGGTGACAGAGGGTTCAGGGTTCCTGGGCCTCCCAAGGAGCACTTGGGGCTCCCCAGGAGCCAGGGACTCAGTTCCTGGCTTCTGTTTTGGGGTTCCTGTGATGGGCCTGGGGTGAGTGTAGTTCTGGGCTAGCAGCACCCTCTTTTGTGGCTTGTTCTAGTGTGTATTAAACTTGACCAAAAAAAAAAAAAAAAGCACTCTCAGGTGTGTGTGCATCTTTTTGATACTTCACCCTTGCCAGGCCTCTAGAGGGCATCTGGAGAGAGGCACTGAGAGGAGGTCCGTCGGCCGGAGTTGGGCAAGGGTTTGCCAGCTTGGTACCTGCTCTGGAACTTCAGGACCCTAACCTGGGTTGGAAGGGACTCTCGAGCGGGCTTGGTGAGAGCCGGTTACGGCTCGAGGCTGGGGGCTGGGCGGGAGGCCGGCCAGTACGTGTTCCGTTCAGGTCGGTGGAACAAGGCGTGCTTGCGAGGACGTCTTGTTAATCTTTACTCATCGATCGGGAACTGGCCAGAGTAAGGCTCCCCGCCCCCTGCCCCCACCAGCCCGCGCCGCCTAGGAGGCGGCTCCCCCTTCTGGGTGAGCCCGGCGCCGGGGCAGCGCTCGCGAGGACGTTTGAGCCAGCCCGCGAGCCGTCGCTCCGTCCCGGCTCCGGATTGGCCGGGCTCCGGGCGGGCCCCGGCTCGGCGCGGCGTTTATTCTCGCGGAGGGGCAGAGCTGGGGGCTGCTGACGCCTGGCTTCTGTTCCTCCGGCTGCTCATTGGTCCAGACGGGCCCAAGTCACCCCGCCCCTCTGCTGGGCGGGGCTCCGCTGAGGCCGGCCGGGCTGCCGGCCTTCCCGGCCGTGGATTGGCCTGCCGCAGGACCCGTCGGTCGCGGTTGTGTCTGGGAAGGAGAGAAAATGGCGGCGGAGCCGAGCAAGACCGAAATCCAGACACTTTTTAAGAGGCTTCGCGCTATTCCAACCAACAAGGTGCGTGAGCGGGAGGCGCGCGGGGTCTGGCGCCGGCCGAGAGGGAAGGTCCCGCCCCCCCAGGGCATGAGGGAGGGGGAGGGGCGTAGGTGGGCTGTTTTCTTGGGGTGTCAGCGGCCGGCCTCGATTCGGGCTCCTGATGGTTTGCTCATCGCCTCCTCCACCTAGGCCTGTTTCGACTGCGGCGCTAAGAATCCGAGTTGGGCCAGCATCACGTATGGTGTTTTCTTGTGCATTGATTGCTCCGGGGTGCACCGCTCCCTTGGCGTCCATCTCAGCTTTATCAGGTGGGGTCTCCGCGCGGTTCTGTGCTTCTACCCGGCCGGGGCTGTATGTTCAGCAACGTAGAGTGGCTGTCTGGACGTGGACCGTCCTGAATTCAGTGTTCAGAAACCGCCGGGCCCTGTGTCCGGTAGCCTCCAACGGGAGGGAACCGCCTGTGTGGGCCCCTTGACTCATAGGCGGGTCGTCTCCGCGTCTAGATCAAAACTCTGTTCTTTCCTGTCGGTCAAACATGAGACTGTAGTTTGGAGGGAAACGTTAGCTGCGTTGACCTTGTAGTTGCTGATACGTCGGCCGAGTATGTTTCTAGTGAGACTGGGACCATCCTTAAGAGGAAAGCCAAGTCCAAGCTTGAGTGCCTGAGAAGGCAACCTCCTTTCGGAGCTGGAGAAATAATCAGTACCCTTTAGAATAGATGAATGAAGAGGAAAGCTTTATGAACAGGGTGGAATGAAGGAAATGGGGTGGTGACTAGTTAACGTTTACTGGGCGCAGCTTGAGGCCAAATGACAGGTGTGGGTCTGCCAGGGAAGCGCGTCTCCTGGTGTCTGCTGGTGGGTGACACGCAGCCCTTGTATATAGGTCCACAGAGTTGGATTCCAACTGGAACTGGTTCCAGCTGAGGTGTATGCAGGTCGGCGGGAATGCCAATGCGGTAAAGCTCCTTCTACCTCCCCCACCCCCATTCTTCTGCCTGGGTACTAACTTTGTCATCATTTCCTAGGAGGGCCTCCTTGGTTCCTCTGTTCAGAGGGTTCTTTGGTCTCTAACAACACCATGTCATAGCTCCTCTCAAAAGGGCTTCAAATTCAAACTGAACTGGACAGATGTTCTTGGGGAAAAGCCAAGGGAGTTGAGACCTCCACAGTCATTGAGTTGATGAAGGATGGATAGGGGGTGTCCCGTGCTGTCCTCGGGCAGGGTGGAGGAGGGCTATGCTTCAGTCAGTCATCTCAGAGGATAGGAGGCTGCAAGGTGTCTTTTGTGTAAGTTTCAGAGGAACTTTACCTTTATGAAAAACTTCCAGTGTCAATAGAGTGTATCATCATGTATAAATAACAACCAGGCTGTTATAAGGGGTTGCCTCCTGCAGCCAATACCTTTTTGCTCTGGTGAGAATCACCTGTACCACACTCTTCTCTTCTTCGCTCTCCAGACGGGTTTTTTCCGCCAACATGGATGCACAGCCAACGATGCCAACACCAAATATAATAGCCGAGCTGCCCAGATGTACCGGGAGAAGATTCGGCAGCTGGGGAGTGCAGCCCTGGCGAGGCATGGCACTGATGTAAGTGCCTGTTCCTGGGGCTGGGGTAGCGGGATAAGTGGGAGTATTCAGAGTGATGTGTTTCATGTGTGCCTTCTCTCTTCTAGCTTTGGATAGACAATATGAGTAGTGCTCTTAGTCATTCCCCGGAGAAGAAGGACTCTGATTTCTTCACAGAACACACTCAAGTGAGTGCCCACGAGGAATGTTATCCCCACTTGTTCCTGACAAGTGGTTTATTTACCAAGGCCAAGGCCTTCTGTGGTCATGGACATAGATTCTATTCGCCTGGTATGATATCTTAGACAGAGAATGTCTGGGGCCCACTGAGTTGGTGAGTTCTGCTGCTGGGTAGGCCCAGGTGTTCCCTTCCCCCACAGATGTGGCTGTACTGTGTCCCTCCTCAGAAATGGACGCCTATAAACTGGGCTGGTGGAGAGGAGGAAAAGCTTCTTGAAGATTCAAAAGGTGTCAGGGGCCCCAAATAACGTTTCCTAGATTCTTCCCCTGTAAGAAAGGCACTGTGGTTGGGGACGATGAAAGGATCCCCTCCCCTGCTATTCACCCCTGTTCTATTAGCACTGGGTGCCTAAGTCATAGTCGCAGTTTGAATCCCTGCTTCTCTACTTAACACGTCTGTGATGCTGGCCAAGTTACTTAACCTGTCAAAACCTCAGTTTTAAAAATGGAGATGTAGGGCTGGCGCGGTGGCGCACTGCTACAGTGCGCCGCTTGGGAGTGTAACGGTGCTCCCGCCGAGGGTTCGGATCCCACATACAGACTGGTTCCCGCTCACTGGCTGAGCGAGGTGCGGGCGCGGCTGCCGGTCCCGGTCCGGTACGGGCCGGTACGGGCGCGACACTGAGGGTTGCATTCCGTTGCCGGACACGAAAAAAGACAAAAAGGGAAAAAAAAAAAAATGGAGATGTAGGGCTGGCGCGGTGGCGCACTGCTACAGTGCGCCGCTTGGGAGTGTAACGGTGCTCCCGCTGAGGGTTCGGATCCCACATACAGACTGGTTCCCGCTCACGGGCTGAGCGAGGTGCGGGCGCGGCTGCCGGGCCCGGTCCGGGACGGGCCGGTACGGGCGCGACACTGAGGGTTGCATTCCGTTGCCGGACACGAAAAAAGACAAAAAGGGAAAAAAAAAAAAATGGAGATGTATCTGTCTCATAGAGCTTGTTGTAATAATTAAATATATTTTTATATGAGGAGTGAGGCCTTAGGCTTGTGCCTGGCACATGGTAAGTGCCCCCCCCCCCTTCAAATAGTTGTTAGTTGTTTTTAGTTAGGGGAATGGTCTCTGGCTCTAAGTAAATAGTGGAGGGGTGGAGGGGGCTGCTGTTTTCCTGCTTCTTTCTTCCATAGTGAACGACCACTATAATTTTACTTGCTAACCTCTTTTCCTTGTGGGCTTGGAGTAGGGCCACATACCCACAAGATACCTGTAGGTTCTTGGTGCTGCTTGATAGCAGGAGTGGCTCACTGAAGCATCTGTGATCTGGCCTTCTTTTCAGCCTCCTGCCTGGGATGCTCCAGCCACTGAGCCTTCAGGGACCCAGCAGCCAGCCCCATCTGCAGAGAACAGTAGCCTGGGACGTGAGTTCAGCCCAGATTCCAACCAAGTGCCCTGGTCCTGGGAAAGGACTTGGGACTAGGAAGGGGACACCTGGCCAAGGGAATAGGAGTGTGGGTCTTTGTATATCTTTGGGTGGGCTGGGATTCATTTCAGTCCCTTGGAGGAAGTGGTGGGCATTTGTTTTATCTTTTGGTGGCAAGCCGAGGAAAGCTGGTGTGACTCTTGTGCCATCATTTCCCCTAATGGGAGGTCGCAGGAAGCTGTGGGCTTTACACCTAACACCTATCATTACATTCACAGAGCCAGAGCACGGCCCCAACACAGACTTGCTTGGCACCTCGCCCAAAGCCTCTCTGGGTCAGTATGCCAGCTGGTGGCTGTGGGGTGTCTGGGAGAGGGTGGGCCTCAAGGTTCTTTTCAGATCTGCTGCTGCCTAGTCATGTGGACTGAGGCCACAGGATACTGAGCATCTAACCTCTCTGGGGTGGGGACTGTGATTGAAATAGTGGCTGCAGCATTGACTTTAGAGCCAGGTCCTTTGAATTAATGAACCTGGGTGGGCTGGTGTACAAGGCCTGGGGTCTGCCTTTGAGTGTGGGGCTGGGTCTAGCCAAAGTGCGGGCAGGCCAGCATGAGCCTGGACACTTCCCTGGGGCCTGAGGCAGGCTCGAGAGACAGCTCTGAAGCTGCTCAAGGCTGGAGGTGACATTGTCCTTTCTCAGCCAGCCCCTGGCCTGTCCTTCTACTCTTCCCTATTTTTTTCTTAGTATCCATCATACTTGGTTCAGGGTGAACAGTCCATTTGCTGACCTTGGCTTGTTCTGTTGACCCTTGGGGGTTAGGGCAGGAAGCCAACAGAGCAACTATCAAACTAATCCCATGAGAAGGCTGACATAGCTTGGTCTGAAGCAGGGAGTCATAAAGGCTCTGGGCTTGGGAGCTATATGGAGGCTCTGGGGTGGGCCCCTTGTTAGCCACAAGTTTGTTTCTCCTCCAGAGTCCATGTATCTGTCAGCTAAAGGGGTCCTCCCTGCCAGAGGTAACCAACAACTGCTTGGGGAGCCTGGCTGCTTGCACACCAGCTCCTGCTCTAGGAGCTAAGGCTAGTGTTCAGCATCTGCCCCCTGCCTAGCAGTCTTCATTTTTGTTTGGGGACTTCAATTGTCTCTGGTGCTTCGAGTGTAGGTTCTCTCTCAGTCCACTGGGAATCAGTAATTTCCCCTAACCTTATCTGTCTTTGGCTTGGACGCCATTAGTTGGGACTGGTGGTGGCAGCTTTGCCTTCCCCTGCCTGGAGCTGTTCTTTCTAGAAGCTCTTGCCATGAAGCTGCATGGTGTGGACTGAGCTGTTGCCTCTGACCTTCCTCTCTCTTACCTCATGCCCACCCTCTTTCTCATACAGAACTGAAAAGCTCCATCATTGGCAAGAAGAAGCCAGCAGCAGCTAAGAAAGGGGTAGGTGGGGAGAGGCAGTGTTGTAGGGTGGTTAGGAGCTGGAGTCAGATTGTCCAGGTTCACCCCTTGATCTTACCACTTATTGGCTCTGTGACTTTGGCAAAAGTATTTATTTTCTTTGAACCTTATCTACAAGAGGGATTTTATTTTATTTTTATTTATATTTTTAAAAGAT